GGAGACTCAAGCTGGGGACACATTGCATCTATGGGTTCTCAAGTCTGACTTGGAGTGAGGATAGGATGATAAGGGGGATGGGCATATGGGGGAGAAACGTGAGCTTCAGTCTGCTCTGTGGTGGGTGGGTCCTGCACACCTGCAGCCTTGTTCATCTTCATCTTTGATGATGAGTGGGGCATAGATGAGCCAATCTCAGGGAGTGTGTGGTCTTTACTGGAGGCAGGAGGAGTCACCCACCACCTCCCCCGAACCTCACGAGTATGGTGGGCCAGATAAACCCCACCCAGAGCTTCTGCTCCTGATAGCAGCTCCAGTGACTTTGTGGAGAATAGCTCAGGCTGCAGACAGCTATCAGTCAGGGGGGCCTTGGGGACCAGGTTGCAGACAGCGTTTGAGGGGACCTTAGGGTCTGGCTGAAGTCGGTCAGGATTTGGACTCAGAGAACAGAAAGGTAGATGTGGTCCAGCTGGAGATGGATGGAGAATGGATAGGCCGATAGGGGGACAGAGGGAACAGGACAGCTTGACTGCAGGGCTGGCTGTTGGGACCAGTGGGAGGCTACGGACCAGCAAAGCAGAAGATTGTGTGGGCCAATGGGTAGGAATGGAAGCTTAAAGGAAGTCTTTTGAGTGGCTTTGTGTGTTTTTAATGACTGAGACAAAGGATGCCTGAAACTGAGATTTCTGGACATATTACTTGTGCTTGACCAGCTGGTACTGGGACTTGATCTCAGCTTGGGCTTGCCTGGTCTGCCCCTGAAGAGCAGACACACCTGGGAGAATGCTGATCTTGGAGAGGGCAGATGGCAGGGTGGCCAGCTTTAGGAGGCTTACTCTGGGACACTCTGGGGAGTAGGTACTGTACTGGAGATTACAACAGGCTCCTGGGCTTCTCTTGCCTCTGCCACAGGTCTGAGCTAGACACCAAGGTCACTATAGCTTAACAACACCCTCCCCCACTCTGAGTAATTTTGCTTTGTGAGAGGTCAGGAAGACGTCCTGGCAGTTAGTGGCCACCCACACTGAGGCACTTACAGTTATATAAACTGTTTCCTGGTGGGAGATGGCACATCCTGGCCTACTGCGCGGTGTACCCGGGCCTCCGGAAGAATGAAGGCGGCGCTCCTGACTGCTGCTTTTCTCGCTTTGGTCTCTATGTCCTGGGTCCAGGCAGTGTGGCTGGGAAGGCTGGATCCTAAGCAGGTAACAGCCTTCTTGGGCAGCAGGTCCTAGGGCCAGGACCCACCTTTGAGGCTCACAGTCTGTGAATCCCCAGGAGTCAATGTGGACAATCATGGATGGAGGGAGTTAGACTGCGCTCAGGATGTGGGAGCTCTTTGACCACTTTGAGGGAGGAGAGCCAGGTCTCTCAGCCGATGCTTCCCCTAGCTCCTTGGGCCCTGGTACATCCTGGCAATGGCCTCCCGTGCAAAGGACTTCATGGTGGAGAAGGACACGAAGAATGTGGAAGGTGTCATGGTGACTCTCACTCCAGATGACAAGCTGAGAGTTCAGTCCTCTCGGCACGGGTGAGTAGGCAGCCCCTGAGCTATGTGACTCTGTTTTAGCTTCCTCGGCAGGAGCCCCTTCCCCAGAGGGGTTGTGGGCTTTGCCTACCTGGTTCAGATAGAGACCTGCTCCTGGAGGCATGGTTGGCTCTCCGTGCTCCCCACTCCCCTGGGCTCCTCTTTTCCACAAGCTTCGCAGGCTCCCTACAGCTCTTGCACTTTCTTTCTCTGCTGGTCTCTGCTCTCATTCGCCTACTTTCTGCCAGCCAGGGCTTCGCATTGCGATTGCCATTTTGCCGAGCACTTTGTCACCCTGTGTTATAGCAGTCATTCCCACCTGCCACACAACTCCATCTTCCTAAACTGAAATTCTGTCCCCGTGTGACAGCTTTCCATTGCTATGGCAAATCATGAGGTTTGCCTAGGCCCATGAGTCCAAAGATTCCAGTCCTTGGTTACCCACCGACCCTGTTGTCTTGAGGCTATGGTAGCTCAGCACATCATGGTTTGTCCTAGAAGTAGCATACTGGCAGGTGTCTGTGTGTCTAACTGGCCGTTCTTTGTCATCTGCTGTCCCCATATGGTTACTCATATGGCTCTGACTCTGCTACTCTCAAAGCCCATGCTGTAGACACGGATTACCCTGAACTCAGGGCTGGGATTGTAGGTGAAGGTGTTTCACCATATCGGACTAGTGTCTCTGATGCTGAGACTCACAAAGGGGTATATCTGCTGTGTTTCCCTCCTAGTAAGCTCTCTTTAAATATCCTGCATGTTTTCCTCTAGAATGTTTCTTACTGATTTGTGAGAAAGGGGAATTGCAGCAATTAATTTGTCATTAAAAACTAGTTATACCAGGCAGTGGTGGCCCACATCTTTAATCCCAGCACTCAGGAGGCAGAGGCAGGTGGATCTCCGAGTCTGAGGCCAGCCTGGTCCACAAGTGAGTTCCAGGATGCCCAGGACTACACAGAGAAACCCTGTCTCAAAAACCAAACCAAAACAAAACACAAAAAACCCCAAAACAAAAACACAACACAAACAAACTAGCTGCAGATGTACTTCCCAGTTTGTTTTTCTGATGCTGGAGGGCCAGCTATTTAAAAAATCATGTATATGACTATCTTGCTTGCATGCATGCACATGCATGCCTGATACCCACAAGGGTCTGAAAAGAGCATCAGATCCCTGGCATTGGAGTCACGAGTGGTTGTGAGCTACCCCGTGAGTACTGGGGACGGAAACTGGGTCCTCCGCAAGACCAGCAAGTGCTCTTAACTGCCAGGCCATTTCTCCAGGCCCAAGAGGAGCTTTTCCCCCTATGAAGTACTTTTTAGTTCTGCACAGTATGCGCACCAGTCTTTGCTTCTGAGGGCACTGGGTGTCAAGATATGGAGGGGGGGAGGGGGATCCTTTCCTTTTCTGTCTCTGGAAGTTCCAGAACTGAGCCTGGGGTAAAAAAAAATGTGAGTTGCATTGTTGCATTCAGGGAGCCGTGCGGCCCCGCATTGCTGAATTATGACCTGGTTTGCGACCTTTGCTGTATGTCGGGGTAAATTTTCCTATTCTGTTCCTTTGATCTGTTTATTTACCCAGATCTTGTGGTGGGCTTAGGGCGTGCCTCCTGGTCTGCTGGAGCAGCTTATGCTGTTTTTCTTCGGAACCTCCCCAGCGCCTCTCACTGTAGGCGTCTTGTCCCAGACGTCTTTGTGGCACTTGATTTGTCTAGCAGATCCTGCTGCTCTTCTCTTGGCTTCTCACCTCAGAGGCTCACTCCTCGGCGGGGAGCGGGGGGGGGGGGGGAGGGGGACGGGGGGGGGCGACGACGACAACGACGACCTGCATACTGCATTCTTCCTTGCGCCACAGGCTGATGTCTCTTGAGCCCTCAGCACCAGGCAGTGTGGATCCCTTGGGAAATGAAGGGAATGGCCAGTGCTTCTCAGGTCCCAGCATGGGTTTTTCTAGGTAATCCAGGCAGCGTGAAAGAGGTGAACTCCCTCAGGGCCAGCCTGGTCTACAGAGCGAGTTCCAGGACAGCCTCCAAAACAATACAGAGAAACCCTGCCTCGAAAAACCAAAAAAAAAAAAAAAAAAAAAAAAAAGAGGCGAACTCCCTTTGAAGCCTCCCTCACTGGTGGGTCACGTGTGGGTCTCAGAGGCCTCCCTCCCTCCCCGTTGACTCCTAGGCCAGATGGGTGCCATCAGAGCACCGTGGAGCTGCTGAAGCGAGATTCCCGATGGGTGTATGAGAACCCCTGTGAGTATGACGTCACTGGACCCCCCCATCTGATCACCACGAAGGCCAGCCCCTGCGTGTTCCCAGCTGGCAGGGCCAGGCCTGGCAGGAAGGAGACCACTCTGCTCCAGATCCTCTGGCACAGCTCTGTGGGCAGTTAAAGGGACAGGACCCTGGGGTCCATCCTCAGGGGAGAGAGGCTCCTGAACGGAGGTCTTAGACCTCATATCCCCACTCCTGCGTGCCCAGATGCCCGTGAGGGTCCTAGTCTCAATCCCTGGACTCCTTGGCGGGTTCAGAGGGCTTGGTGCCTGGTTAGTAGCGTTCTATCCCCATAGGATAGGGCTGGGGGAGGGTGGCCCACCTGCTCTTCAGTCCCCTCAGGCTGAGCTGGGACAGCACTCGTCTAAGTCCACCAGCATCTGAGAACTGCTTCTTGCTGGCACAGTGTAGGTCCTGAATCTGACCCGTCTTAACAGCCAGTCCCAGTGTTACACCTGGCTGGCATGGTGGCCCCGTTCCCCTTGCTGCCCTGGATCCTTCGTTTGCTCTCTAGCTCTCGGTGTACTGGACTACCGGGTCCTGGGCACTAACTTCAAGGACTATGCTGTCATCTTCACACAGCTGGAGTTTGGAGATGAGGCCTTCAACACAGTGGAGCTGTACAGTAAGTGGCGACGGCCAAGGTTGCTCAGGGTCCCTGGCGCCCCAGACACAGGCACTCTGTGTCCACAGCCTGTAGGGAACATACAGGGCCAAGCCCCAGCCACCCTGAGGTTGGCTAGGGATTGGGGTAAAGAAAGGGTCTGGGGGCACAGCTAAGCTCTCCACACTCTCATCGTCTCTGAGAGCCTACTTACTCCTTCTTGCTCAGGTCGGACGGAGATGGCTAGACCTGAGGCCATCCAGTTGTTCACCAAATGGAGCCGGGGTCTGGGCTTCCGGTCCCAGCAGCAGGCCCAGCTGCAGAAGGACTGTGAGTGTTCCTAGTATTGGCTGCAGGGAGCACAGGCAGTTCTGACACACAGTGACTGGGGTGGTGGAGGTGGTCCGAATTCCTTTCTGCTTTTACTGGTTTGTGGGTGCTTCAAGGGACCACCTATGCCTGTCATACTCAGGCACGTAGGGGCAGCCTCCCTGGAAGAGGCTTGTGGGTAGGATCCTGGGAGCTGCTGCAGCCCTGTTCTCACAACTGGCTTGGCTCTTCTTACAGTCACGTGTGCAAACAAGATCCTCCAGGTAGGCCACCTTTTCAGGCATCACTCTTGGCTTCCTGGGGAGCAGGGAGAGCCTGTGGCTCTGGGTGAACCCTCTCCAAAGCCAGTGTATAGCCCATGGCTCTGCTGGTGGGAAGGTCATTGAAGGTGAGGATGATGGCTGTCACCAGCCCCACCCCAACTCTTGCCCTGGTTTTCAGTGAGTGCCACACCCCGGAGACAGCAGCACAGCATCCTGGTGTCCTGGTGGAGGTGGGCAGGCACTGTCTTTGCTCAGTGGCTGGTGTTGGTTCTCTGTTCTCATAGACTCATGCTTGGGTTGAAAATAAAGTCATTTCACAAGTAAAACTGCCACAGTGTGTCTTCTTTGGGGGTGGAATGGTCCCTGTGTTGTGGAAGAGGACTTGTCAGAGATCAGACCATGGAACCACAGAGCAAGTTCAGGGTCAGGAGAATTGGATGCACTAATATCCGTTGTCAGAGTTCTGGAGCCTGAAGACACTGTGGACAGGATGTAGCCAGTGGAATGGCAAAAGCTGAGGTGCTAGATAAGAGCTATGTGTGTAGGTCAGGACACTGTTAAACCACCAGAATCCATGGCCAGGGACCCAACCACCTATGCACTATCTAATAGGAAGGAACACTGAGTGTTACACAGTATGAGAACATTGATAGCACCTGCCAAAAGCCTAGTAGGGAGGTTATCATCTACAGCCCATCTAGCAGGAGGACACAGAATTCACACTGACCAGCAGGGAGGTCATTATCTGTGAGCTTTCCAGCAGGGAGATGCAACCCGGGCTCTAGGTCTTCTTTCTTTGCCTATGACTCTGGTTGCTGGCTGGGGGCTGGGCATGGGGTGGTGGTGGTGGTATGGAATTCCCAAAGGCCTGAGCCTGCAGGCCCTCACTACAGATGGGGAACCTGGTCAGGAAATGGGGGAATGATGTCATCTATTGGAAAATAATATGGGGAGAGAGGGGACCAAAGCTTGGGCTCACTCCCTCTCTCTTCCCTGGCCCAGTCATCAGGAGCTCCTCAGACACTGTAAATAGCCGTGGGTAGGGAGCACTGAAGTTTGTGTCTAGAGGCTGCTGTTTCCCTCCCTCCGGTTTGCACACCTGCCCAAGAGACTAGTCCCACAGACACCCTACTCTCACCTTTGGCAGGGCTGTGAGAGCCCCAAGCATCCCGTGCCAGGTGAGACATGCCAGGCTGCAATGGTATGCAGATGTGTGTAGTTGTAGCCCTTCAGTGAGGGATGTGAGGACCGGCATCCACACGGCCTCTGAGAACTCGGCAGTGTCCGTCTTCAGGGGCCTCCCAGGCAGGCAATGTCTACTGTAACCAACACCGCCCAGGCTGATGCCCTCAGAAGGAGGGGCAGAAGCCTCAAGCCACACCTCCCCACTTCTTACTCCACCCACCCCAGTAGCCTGAGGCTCCAGGGTGGGTCTGACACCACAGCAGGGCAGATGAGGCAAGAGCTGCCCCTGCTAAGGATGAAGCTGGAGGTGGCCCTGGCCACAGCCCTGGTCCTGGCTGTGGCATCCTGGACACAGGAGTTTTTCCCTAAGGAGGCCCAGAGTCTCAACTGGGGCAAGGTAAGCCACATGCCCCTTGGGTACCTTCATCAGGTACTAGGGTCACAGGGTACGTGGACCAGTTAGGACATAACTGCAGCTGTGGGACCATCTGGGGTAATGTCCCCAGCAGGAGGGCAGGGCACAGTATCTGTCGAGCCCAGCTGTGTTAGTTACCTGTCCTCTCCCACCACTGCCCCAGCCCTGGGACCCCTGGGAGATACCTCTCTGCAAAGGGGTTGAGTGCGGCAAGCAGGGCAGGGGACCAAGCAGCAGACGTGCCCTGAAGCAGACGATTCCCGGTGGGGTGGCTGCGGGCACAGTGGCTAGGTGGGCCACGTGAGTAGCATGCACAGACACTGAGTTATTAGGAGCCGGGAGTATGCTGCAGGGAAGAACTGGTGGCTAGTGCGGGCACAAGTGGAAGGGACAGGGGCTGAGCATGCGAGTCACAGGGAGGCCAAGAGAAAAGGAGCCTCTGAGGGGGCTAGGGTGGACACGGCCTCCCGGGCCCCTGACCGGCTAAGCACCAACTTCTCTTCAGCCCGGGACAGGGTGGTGCCCACCTGTGGATGCAGATGTGCTCTGGGTCTTGGGAAAAGGCCACTTGCTGGGTCTGTCCTCTGGCTGGGAGCTTGGACAGGCAGCATAGTGTGGCAGCTCTAACACTGTTCTCCCCTGACGCCCCCTGCAGTTTTCAGGCTTCTGGTACATTATTGCCATCGCCACAGACACCCAGGGGTTCTTGCCGGCTAGAGACAAGAGGAAGCTGGGGGCGTCTGTGGTGAAGGTGCACAAAACAGGCCAGCTCAAGGTGGTCATCGCCTTCAGCCGGTGAGGGGACGCTCAGCCGGTGAGGGGATGTGGCGGGGTCCCCGCACACCTCTGCAGACTGTCCTGGACACCTTGGTCTCCGGGGAGAAGGAGCCCACGGGAAGCAGAGCTGAGTCCTGAGAGGAAACAGACCTGATAGATGATTTCACTACCTCCTCTTCCCCTAAAACCCAGAGAGTGATTTTGGGAGAAATACTGGGCATCAGGAAAGGGGTGTTGGGAGTGGACCTCTCAGCTCTGGGCAGGCCTTTGCCCAAATTAGAATATTCCCACCCAAGCTGGCCACCTTGGCCCCCGGGAGCCCCCATCCCTAGGCTCTGGGGGGAAGCAGGTGAGCAGAGCTGGAGAAGTTGGTGGTGGAAGGCGGTCCTCTGGCTGCAGCTCACCGCACCTGTTCCCCAGGCCTCAGGGATGCCAGTCCACGGAGGTGACCCTGAAGAAGGATAGAAAGAAACCTGTGTTCAGGAATACCTGTGAGTAGGATGCTTGGGCCCTGGGAAACTGAGTGTGTGGCCAGACACCCAGGATGGGTGGGCAGGGTGGCTGCGGTCCCCGAGCTGACTGAATCCCTTTGAGTGGCCTGGTTTGGGAGATGAGACAGGACTGGCTGGTGTGTCGGGCACCAGGCTCTGGACTGCGGGTGGCCATGGGTGTCCAGGCACCGCTGCCACTAGAGCTTCTCTTGCAGTGAAGGGCATAAAGGGCTTCCATGTGCTGTCCACTGACTACACGTACGGCCTGGTGTACCTCCGCTTGGGGCGTGCAGGCAGCAGCTACAAGAGCCTGCTGCTCTTCAGTGAGTGCGGTGTGCGGAGCCACCTCTGGGTGTCAGGGCCACGGTGGTAGAGGGCTCAGAGACACAGAGGTGAGGGAGGGTGGAGGGGACACAAGCCTGGAAGGTAAGGCTGCTCAACGGGGAGGGAGCACGGTTGATGAAGGATGGTCTGAGAGGGGCTGTGGCAGTGGGGTTCGCTGTGTGTAGGGTTGGAGGCAGGCAGCAGCACAGTCGATTGGAGACCCTCACCAGGAGGGGGTCTAGATGTAGGGGATGCAGTATAGGACAGCCTTATGTGTGAGTGTTGGAGTGCTGCCCCGGGTGGGGCGGGGGGGGGGGAGGCTGAGACTCGGGGTGTGAGTTCCGAGCGCTGAGAAATGGAGGGTCAGGGCGAGGTGGCTGGATTCCGTGGGAACGAGGGGGAGTGAAGTATTGGGGAGGGCGGGTAGAGATGACGTGGTGAGGAGGAGGGGCACCCAGCCTGGGCTACGGGGAGGCGTCTGTGGAAAGAGCAGAGGAGAGGTGTGTTTAGACCATAGCAGGCCTGCACATGCCCAGGGGATGGCTGCGGTGGATTGTAGGGACGGAGGAGGCTCCCAGGTCTCTGCCAGCTGCAGAGCGACCCTATCTCCTAGCTTTGGAAATGGGGCACAGGCACCGAATGACAGTGAGTGGGGCCATGGGAGATTAGGATGCAACCCTCCAAATGCCCGTATGGGCACCCCTGCTGCTGTGATTCTGTCCTCAACTCAGACAGGCAGAACATCTCTAGCTTCCTGAGTCTGCGAGAATTCCTGGACACCTGTCATACTCTGCAGCTCACCAAGCAGGCCACCATCCTTCCGAAAGACGGTACTACATGGCCTCAGGCTTTTATTCTCCTGCCCCCGTTGTACCCCATTAGACAGCTGGACTATGTTGGAGATGTACATGTGTGTGTGTGTGTGTGTGTACACGTGTGTACATGTGTGCATGCATGTGTGTGTGTGGCCATGCAGTTTGCAAAGTCAGCTGTGAAGATGCCCAAATGTCCTCATCCCTCCGTACCTGTGGGCTTCCTGTCAGCACTGGGTGTGCAGCGTCCCATGCAGACAGAGATGACTCCTAGAGCGCACAGACTCCAGCCGACACTCAGAACGGAGGCTGCACAGCTCTGCCCTCTATAGAGTCCAGGGCAAGCAGGGCAAGGGTCCGCATATGGATTCACGACAGAGGTGGAAGCCAGGTCTCTCAGCACCTTTCTTCCTGCCCACAGATTCCTGTGCACACACGATCCTGCCGTGACAGCCAGCCACCCTCTGCCCATCCCTTTGAGAGTCTCCCAGACCCTGGGGATACTGTTCCAGGTGGTGGCTGTGACACTCCGTGGCTTGTTCAGAGGGGCTTGGTGACTGCAGGTCAGTGACTGGCTGACTGCACAAACCCGGGCTGTGATTGCTCCCTTTGCATTCTCCTATCCCAGCAACCCCCACCGCTGTGCTCATGGCCTCCACCTGCCCTCGCAGTGTCCTGGGCTCCATCGGGGGCCGGGTCTGGCGTTCATCATCACTCCACCCTGGGGAGGCTGAGCACAGACCGCAGACTCATCACACTCCCATTTTCTTCCTCCCTTTTAAATGGGTTTCTTTATTTTGGGGCTATAGCAATGGCTCAGTGGTTAACAGTGCATATTGCAGAGAACTCAAGGTTAGTTCCCGGCATCCATATTGAGTGGCTCACAAATGCCCGTGACTCCAGCTCCAGGGGATCCAGCAACCTCTTCTGGTCTTTGTGGGTGCTGCACACACATGCACAACCTGCCCACATGTATGTATAATTAAAAATAAAAAGTATTTTCAAGTATTTTATTTTCATATGTACCTTTTTGTTTTACTCTTCAGGACAGGGTTTTTCTGTGTAACAGCAGCTCTGGCTGTTCTGGAATTCCTTTGTAGACCAGGTTGACCTGAGATCTGCCTGCCTCTGGCTCCTGAGTGCTGGAATTAAAGGCGTGCACCACCACCACCCAGCTCATATGTACTTTTTTGTTTTTCTTTATTTTAATTTTGTTTTGAGAGAGGCCCTACTATGTAGTTCTGGCTGACTTAGAAATCACTATATAGCTGGGTATGGTGGTGCATGACTTTAATCTCGGCACTCAGGAGGCAGAGGCAGGCAGAGCTCTGTGAGTTGGGGTCAGCCTAGTCTACAGAGCAAGTTCCAGGACAGCCTCTAAAACAATACAGAGAAACCCTGTCTTGAAAAACCAAAAAATAGTAATGATCTCCAGTTCCCTGTATTTTTCTGTAAATATCACCACTTCACTCTTGCCTACGGCTGAATAAAATTCCACTGCGTGTACCACGTTTGTGCGTACGCGCCATATTTCCCCTGTCTGTTCATCTCATAATGGGCATCTAGGCCAGGCCTGTATCTTGGCCATTGTGAACAGTGCAACAATAAACAGGTGTGCATGTGTCGCTGTGGTGTGCTGACTTAAGAGGCCTTCCGGAATGTTCCCAGGAGTGGTTATGTGGTAGCTCTGGTTTTTGGTTTTGGGAATGTTCATGCTGATTTCCACAGTGACTGCAGCACTCCTCTTTAGCCTCTGGTCACTCACTTGAGTCCTGCTCTTAGGGGCATGAGCAACAGGAGCTCTTCATTTGGAGGCCTCCTGGGCTGGGTCAGCTTTCCGACGGCCGTGTTAGCCAGCATCCCTTGCTTCCTCCTCTACGTGGGTATCTCTCCTCCAGTCCCAGGCATGAGCATCTTTTCCTGCTGCCTTCTCACCACCAGCAGACTTCCAGCACCCGAGCGACTCCACCACAGGTGCCGCCGGGGCTGATAAGTCTTGTGTTGTTGGTTCTCACTTCAAACGTACCGTGCCACCATGTGAGCAAAATGTTGACACGCTAACTCAGTTCTCTCCTTTCACGATGTGGGTCCTAGGGTTTGGACTCAGATCATCAGGCTCAGCACCGAGAGCATCTTCATTTACCGGGCCACCTCTTTGGCCTTCTAATACCGGCACATAGGATGAGCAAAATTGCAGCAAGAACCAGTTGCACCATCCAGGGAGTTCTCAGATGTGCCTCTAAGTCCCGCTGCCTACATCCGCAGGCCATGGTCTGCCTCTGCCATTAAAACTGGCTTCACTTTGTTGGAGTGGGACGTTGTCAGGCCCTCTGGGGTACGCTGCTTGGAGAAACCGGGCCTCTTTCATGTGGCCGTGATGTTCTGAGACCCCATGCTGATGGCCAGCCTTCCTTTTTAGTGCTGGCTGCTGGGTGTTCATGGGTTGGACTTTGTGAGTAGCTTTTACACACAGCTGAGTCACACGGAGCCAGCTTGATCCTTTCAAGTCTTCCTTTGAGGTGTTGAAGAGCAGAGATGCTTTTAGGGCTAGTTTGACTCCATTGCTTAACATGATGGTTCTCACTGGCTAGCCTGTCATCCAGGGATGAGGACTGGGACAGGATCCGACTGTCTCAGAATCCAGCTTGCTCAGCTGATTGATTGGGTTTACTTAAAAACTTTTGGGAAGAATATCAATAGTGGGTTATCTGTGTCATTTTTGATGTGACCAACCATGTCAGTTGGCACAAGATTCAATTTACATTGTTCTCAGTGTCTACAAGGCTTATAAGACACCTGCCCTCCGTGCTTTTCAATTTGGTACCTGTGTGAGTTCTATTCACCAGCCTTTTGGGTCCAGGGCAATTGTACATGACTTTTGGCTTATGAATGGAAATGGGAGCCCGGGAGCCCAGACTCAGAAGTCAGTCAGTGTCAGGAGTGGCTCCACAGCTTCCTGGAAGGGATCTAAAACTCACATGTGGTAGGATGGCAGCCGACATCAGCATGGACCTACACCTTCCTGGGAAGGACCCAGGACTTAAGTATGGTGCAATCCTGAGCACACCTCTAAGCCTTAAGGTCCAGCAACGTCATAGGGAACGGAGCTTGGGGTTTCTGTCTCTTCCTCTGACTCCTTTGGTCCTTGTGCCACTGGAGAGTGAAGGACAGCCTTGCTCTGCCATATGGCCTTAACAGTCTTTCGACTGCGGTTCCGTGGGGTGGGTAAGACCATCCTGTTCTAGGGGCCTCAGACTCCTCGTCTTCCACAGGTGATCTTTTAACTGCTGGGCCCTACCAGTGATGGGGAGGGTGGAGAGGGGGGGGAGGAAGAGGGGAGAGGAGGAGGGAAGAGGAGAAGTGGGGAGAAGGGAGAGAAGAGGGAGAATCATGGGGGGGTGTTGGGAAGAGGGGGAACCATGGAAGGTCCCAGGGGGCAGAACACGAGTCAGTCAGAAGGCCTGAGTGCCTACATATGCCCCATAGGGCACACTCACAGCATCTATCCCTCTGCCCTTGAAGGTAGCCTCCCTTGAAGCAGCCAGCTAGACAGGGGACAGAGTTGGCCTAAAGTCACACTGGGCCAGTCTTGCAACTTCTCATGCTGTTCGCCAGAGTCTGATCTGGACCTCATATGACCCTGATAAGGTTAGATCTACCTCAGGGCCCCTAGGAAAAGTTCACAGCCACTGTGCCTCAGTAACATTTTAGATGTCTTTTCCCTGACTCATATCACAGAGGCGGTGGCAGAGCTGGGGTTCTCCCTGCACTGTATGTGACTGGAGAGAGAGCTATCCATGGTCAGGCCACGGGTGAGTCCATTAATGGGCGTATACAGTCAAAATACCAGACCCCATGCTGTCTCTTACTGCAGAGACAGGGATGGAACTCTCATCAAACTGTGCTTTGTTTATTGGGAGAGATGGAGAAGCAATGCAAATGAAATGAGCATTCTGGCTCACTGGACTTGATGAGTATACGCTCTCCCGACCTCAAGGGAGAGCACAGTAAGGGGAGAGCAACAGCACCATAAAAACTCAGAAAAAGGCCGACCAGCTAGCCAGAAGGACAAGATTTTGGAATGAGTGTTGCCCCTGTCCTGGTTTCCTATAAAACGTACCAGTGAGAGACAGCTCAGACAAGGTGGTCTCCCCTGGCTCCCCTGCTTGCCAGCTCTCGGAGAAAAGCATAATTAAAGGACCCATCCCTGTCTCTGCTCATTGAACTTGCAGTGACAGAAGCAGGAATTATTGCATTCCAGTGACACATATAGGTGAACCTATGCTTGATTCTATGTAACATGACAAATGGGGGGACACAAGTGCCTCATAGGTGTTCCCTCAGGGCCCATGTGAAGCTCTGGCTTGCGTTGGGTGATGCGGGGAGAGGTACTCTTTGGGAGATTTGTGTTGGATGGGGTTGGGAAGGTGGTTCTTCTGGTGGGAACCAGTGTCCTGCCTCATGAGGACACAGTGAGATGACACCTGCCAACTGGGAGAAGACATTCTTCAGAATCCCATCAGATGGGAGCCCTATTGGACTATCACCTCCAGAACTTTGAGACATAGATGTGGTTTAGGCCTCTGTCTGTGTCCCTTCACCATGGTGTTCCCCAGCTGATGAATCTACATATATGAGCCCACGTTAAACCCACACACTCTCAGGCTTTCCTGGGGGCTCGGTCTCTGAGAGGAGAACACTCTTGGATAGACTCGTCCCACTTGGCCATTCTGAGTGCGTGTGGGATGATGAAAGCCCTTCCTGTCGGAAGGTGGAGGAACTTGGGGTGACAGAGGGAGCCATCTCACTCACAGGACTGGACACTGTGTTCTGATGGAGGAGGCATAATGACTCTGCTCAGCGAGACAGGCTTCCCTTTGAGCTCAGCCCACACCTCCACAATCTCTTTCTGCTTCCTAGAGCAATGTGTCCCCATGGTTCCCACCCCCACCACTTGGCACTGAATTTCTTCTCATAGTTAAGCCATAGGGCAGGAGCAGGCCTCAGTGGCTTTATTCTGCAGAAACAGCTATAAAAGTGGGCACAGACAACCACTGACAAATTTGCACATACATGTACGTAAAGAGCAGTGCATACTCATGTTGATGAGTGCATTGCACACTGAAAAACAGTCCCATTAGCACATATGATATATAGGCAGAGAATGCAGAGCCTCATGCCAAAACATGCTCTAGCATACGTAATATACACACCTATCTTGTGCACAGGGCACATTTACAGTGGATTATATACCTGCATACACTCCAGATATATGCATATATGCAGAATTTACATATGTGCACCTGGACACCTGCACAGGCACATGTGTGTACATAATAACCTTGCATACATAATACAATGCACATATTCATTCACATGCATACATATTCATCCACACGCATATATGTATGCATAAAATGCACATACACCCCTGCTTGCCCCATCTCTAGCTCAGAACAGAGCCTGCCATGTTAGCTTGCAATGGAGGACGGACTGTCTAGTACTCCTGCACTTTCCATAAAGACTGGATGTCTGGAAGGTTCTGTTTTTCAATTGCAATCAACACTCTGTTGGGTTGTGGAGGTCTAAGTTGGGGTAGTGGGTAACAGGGAGCATCTTAGTGTCTAATGTAGGGAATGGCTCAAAGCTACAGTGGCAGAGCCACAGGTTTGGTCAGTCTTCCTTTAGTCCCAGAAGGTCCCCACATGGGCCCAGGTACCAAGGAGACCCAAGTCTCTGGTGGTCCAGTGACTTTGATGCCATCTGTTAGGAAATATGCCTCCTCTTTGCTAAGGGGGACTCTGAAAGCTGCACAGAGCCAGCGACAAGCTGATGAGTCTCAAGGGGGAGAGCCATAGCTGGAAGCTTGGTGGTGCCACATGCCAGTGGCCATGTCAGAGGAATAGCTGATGGCAGTTGACTTCAGGGTGTTAGCCCAGCAGGACACGAATCCCTGATGGGAGAATCTCAGATAGGCAAGACCCCGAGGCCACAGACTCCAGAGTGCC